GATGGAAATACTCTGGTGATAGACGGTCAAGTAAATGGGAAAAACAGTCAGCTAACATTAGATACTGGAGCTTCAAGGACGGTGATAAATGTTCGGCTGCTCGGGCAAAACATCAGGAAACACGTTAAACCAATTGTTGGCCTACGAATGAAATCAGCTACCGGCCAGTGCATACCGATAAGTGGAAAACTGCATGTAACAATCAAAATTGGGGAACGTGTTTATCGACATGAGGTTATTGTGGCCAAAATTCTGGATGACTGCATCCTGGGACTTGACTTCCTGCAAGGGCACCAGTGTAACATCGACTTAAAATCTGGAGTATTACTATGTGGAACTGAAGAAATTCCGATGAAGGGTGGAACCCTGGGAAAAGTTTGCTGTTTAAGAAGAACTGTTCTTGAACCAAAATCACAGACTCTCGTACCAATCGCATTACCTAGGAGGAGGGAAGGAAGTTTACCTCTAAGGTGCGCTGTGATTGATAAATCGGAACACGTAAACTCATGGCTACCGGCGAGAACTGTCGTGGGGTCATCTGATGTCAACCGCATTCCGGTATTCAACTTCAGTGATTCAAAAATTACGATTGAAGAAGGAGAGCCTGTGGGCGTATTGGAAGAAGTGGCCTGGATAAGAAAATGCTCGGAGAATCTTGTGAAGAAGGACAGTACGGGAATAGACTTTGTAACGAAAATCTTAGACGAAAACAAAAGTCTGACAAAAGTGGAGACTATGAAAGCTAGAAATTTACTTCTTCGATTCTCTGATGTGTTTTCAAGAAGCGATGGTGATATTGGCCGAACTGGTTTAGTGAAGCATAAAATAAACACAGGTGATACAATGCCAATTCGTCAAAGGCCCAGACGCATACCATTCGCTCGTGAGAAAGAGGTTGAAGAAATGATTGACGATATGAGGAAAAATGACGTGATAGAGCCCTCTTCTAGCCCTTGGTGTTCACCTGTCGTGCTTGTCAAGAAGAAAGATGGTTCAACGAGGTTTTGCGTAGACTATCGACGATTGAATGATGTAACCAAGAAGGATAGCTACCCGTTACCAAGAATCGATGACACACTTGACACACTGAGTGGCATGAAATGGTTTTCAACGCTCGATCTGAAAAGCGGCTATTGGCAGGTGGATTTGGATCCCAAGGACAAGGAAAAGACCGCATTCTCAACTGGGAAGGGACTCTGGCAATTTAAGGTGATGCCATTTGGATTATGCAATGCACCGGCAACCTTTGAGCGTTTGATGGAACAGGTGCTGGCGGGACTGCTGGGCGAAACCTGCCTAGTTTACCTCGATGACATCATCATTGTTGGACGGGATTTTGACGATCATCTAAGGAAATTGGAAAAGGTACTCGATAAGCTGCGTGGAGCAAATTTAAAGTTGAGTCCAAAGAAATGCTCTTTCTTCAAGCGCGAAGTGAATTATCTAGGACATGTTATTTCTGAGAGAGGAATTGAGACTGATCCAGCCAAGACTGCCGCTGTTAAGGAATGGCCAACACCTAAAGACAAAACGCAAGTTCGGGCATTTCTTGGATTGTGCTCGTATTATCGGCGGTTTGTGAAAGGATTCTCGGACATTGCCAAGCCTTTGCATCGATTGACAGAGGAGAAACGTGCCTTTATCTGGGACGAGGATTGTGAGCAAGCCTTTCGAGAACTAAAAGAACGGCTTTGTAACACACCAATTCTCGGATACCCCAGCGCGAAAGGAATATTCGTAGTTGATACGGATGCCAGCAATATTGGAATAGGAGGTGTCCTTTCACAACGCGATGGTGAGCAGGAGAAGGTTATTGCTTACTTCAGCAAGTCACTATCCAAGCCGGAGAAGAATTATTGCGTGACCAGGAGGGAATTGCTGGCCGTAGTCAAAACTCTGCACCATTTCAAGAAGTATTTACTGGGACGGAAATTTTTGATCAGAACTGATCACGCTGCTTTGAAATGGCTGCTTCAGTTTAAGGATCCCGAAGGCCAAGTAGCCAGATGGTTGGAACAACTTCAGGAATTTGACTTTGAATTCGAACATCGCGGCGGAAGAATTCATGGCAACGCAGATGCATTATCGAGACGCCCATGCGTGGAAGATTGCAAGCATTGTGCCAAGAAGGAAACTGCTTTTCTTAAGGTGATAAGGACTGATACTGTTGACAAGGCATGGGGAGATGATGCGATGAAATTAGAACAGGAAAGAGATGCAGATATCAAACCAATACTGGAGTGGCTACGAAGTGGTAACAAGCCAAGTTGGAGTGACGTCGCCCAATATAGCGCGGTAACGAAAGGTTTATGGGCACAGTGGAAAAGCCTCACGCTGCATAACGGACTTCTGTGCAGGAAATGGGAATCAACAAACGGCAAGGACGAGCATTTGCAATTGGTGGTGCCTCGTTCAAAAATAAGGGATGTATTAAAAGCGTTCCATGATGGATCTTCTGGAGGACATTTGGGAATTAGGAGGACTTTGGTGAAGATCAAGGAGAGGTTTTATTGGTTGCATTGCAAATATGACGTCGAAGATTGGTGCCGGAAATGCACTAGTTGTGCAGCTGTCAAGGGTCCACAAACAAGAAGCAGAGGGGCGATGAAAATCTACAATGTTGGTATGCCTTGGGAGAGAATAGCCTTAGACATCGCTGGACCATTTCCAATCACTGATTCGGGCAATCGCTACGTTTTAGTGGTTATGGATTATTTTACAAAATGGCCGGAGGTCTTTGCCATACCGAATCAAGAGGCAGTAACTGTAGCCACGAAGTTGGTAAACGAGGTATTCACCCGATTCGGAGTGCCCTTGGAGATGCACAGTGATCAAGGACGGAACTTTGAATCCCAAGTTTTCCAGGAAACTTGTAAACTTTTGGGAATCCATAAGACTCGAACGACCCCTTATCATCCACAGTCAGATGGAATGGTCGAACGCTTCAACCAAACATTGGAGCGACACTTAGCAAAGGTGGTTGACAGCCATCAGAGAGATTGGGACACTTACATACCTCTCTTCTTGCTTGCCTATCGGACTGCTGTACATGAAAGTACCGCAAAGACGCCTGCATTTGCAAATTTTGGAAGGGAATTGAGATTATCGGCAGATCTTGTATCGGGCTGTCCACCTGGTGATTCTCGCACCGAGTTTAGCGATTACATAAGCGAGTTAAGGGCAAAAATGTTGGACATTTATGAGCAGATCAGGGAGGCCGGTCTTCAAGCTAGTGATCGCGCAAAGACGCGCTATGATCGACGAGCCAATTCTGTTGGGTTTGAAGAGGGGTCATTGGTCTGGCTTCATAATCCAGTCAGAAGGAAGGGAAAATCTCCAAAGCTGCAACCGAGTTGGGAAGGTCCTTACGAGATAGTCACGAAGATCAATGACATTACTTACAGAATTCGGAAGTCTTCAAGGAGCCCTTTGAAAGTTGTCCATATAGACAGGTTGGCGAGGTATTACGGCAGCAACGATGCTCGGGACGAGCGAATCTAAGAGGGGGGCAGTGTGACAGAAAACTCTTTGACATCATGACGTCAATGGATGGTTGTCAAACGTTGCCTAGAGATTGTAAATTTCGTCGTGAATTGTCAACACGAGTTGGTGTAATCGGTAAGGCGTGTGGATTACACCACAGAGACCCCGAGTTCGAGTCCCGCCGTAAACATGAAGTTTTTTAGTTGATGGAAGTTTTGTCGAACTTTCTGGAATATTTGAGTGAAAGTGATGAAAAATTAAGGAGCGAGAAGAAGAATAAATAAAAATGAATAACGAAATTATTGGAAGATTCTGGAGGCATGACGATCAAAAAGAATAACGAAATTGAATGTTCTAGAACCTGACCGGGGGTATATAAGCGGAACTGCGGCTCACCGCTGGCAGTTGAGTTCTAAGTCTAAAGCGATTCGGAAGAAAAGGAAGAAGTGAGAAAGAAGAAAAGTGAGTGAAATAGTGAAGTGCAGTGAAATAGTGAAGTGCAGTCAGTTAAGTGAGTTAAGTCAGCGTGAACGGCAAAGTTGTGTCAGTCGGCCGGACTCTGCTGGAGAGGAACGCCGATAACTTAACTCCGTGGACGCTGTAACTTAAGTGCAATAGAAAGTCTGAAAACCGGTATTAGTGTTTCATTTCATCCAATCCCGTAACCCAAGCCCGCATAGTCAGGAACGTGACGTCAGGCACGTAACAATATAACTCTTTACAGCGTTGTGTTTCGCCGTGTGAGTGAGGTTACCGGAGGCCCAATCCTTCCCCTCCCCCAATCCCTCTTCAATCCTTAAATTCCAAATTCTTAATCGCTAAACGGTCGGCAACGCACTCGTAACTCCTCCGTTGCGGGTGTCCTTGGGCGGCGCTGATTGCTTACCATCAGGTAATCCGTTTGCTCGTTTGCCGACATATTACACAAAAAAAAACTCGGAAAAGGTCACGCACTCGCATCCTCATGCATGAGAAACAGGCGCCATAGCATAGCACCTCCGGGCCACCACGACTAGAACCGGGTTAAAATGTGATATTCCAGTAAATATCTAATAATAAATATCTGATTCTCTGCATTATTTAGAACCCGTTAAGTAGTTTTTACATAATTTTTACAAATGATTAATAAACATCGATACTTACAAACTTTCTCGTCTACAATATTAGTAGGTTATAATACAACCGCGTGATAAAAATAGAGTAAATATATTTATCAGTATCACTTCACTCTTCCCGCGGGTATAACAGGCTGTGCTAGGTATGCCAACGGGATTGTTGGAATGAAATTACTTCAAAATTGTTTTTCAAAAGTAGTGAATATCACTACATAGTATAAAACAACATGGCTTTCTCTGTCCCTATATTCCTATTTAATTTACACAACTACACAACGGATTTTGTTGCCTAGAAAGATTTTTATGTATTAAATAGTGGAGAAAAGTATTAGCATTGAACCCTTGTGAAGCCGGGCGGCGTCGCTAGTTGATATATACTATATAAGTATTTATGTTACAGTGATGCTGACCTGCAGAGGTCAGAGACCAGCCTCCTTGCCCTTCAGTTCTGAGAGCTTCAGAACTATAGTGAGGGGACTAAGCAGTAAGTGAAAAATTCATATACAACATTTAATGAAACTGGATGGTTCTACTAGTTTGAAGTCACATCGGGCTGGCGACGTCAACGCGACGCGCACGCTTCTTATGAATAAGAGTCCTGTAAGCCTACCATGAAGTGTCAAAGCGTTAGTCTTCCGGGCGAGAGAGAGGGATGGAGTTATACACCATTTATAGCTCCATCCCTCTTTTATGGTTTGAAACTAGTAGAACTTCTCTCAGTTGATTCACGTGAATTAACTTATGTTAAAACTTCTACTCTTTAGTATATGTCACGATAGTTAGTTATTAGCTATAAAAAAAATACTTACTTTTTAATTCTTAACTAAATTGTATAAAGAAACAGCTGCTAAATCCAATAAATGCATTGGACAAAAAAAAATATGATGAAACCAAAGTCAGTTACTATTTTCTATTATTAATCATATTTTGGCTTACTCAAGTAAGAGGAACTCGACAAGTCACACTAAAAGCTTATACTAACTTATTAACTGCGCGCCGTTCACCATGTAATGTCGTGTGCAATGCTGCTCATGAGACCCTAGTCTACTTGAAACTAGTCGAGTTCTTTACCTAACAGTCAGTCATTAAAATTTTTATTTAATTTCATCTCTCTTATATTATTAAAATATTGATATTTGGTGCACATTGAAACCAGCTACTGAGACATGGCCGACATTCCCTTACATTTTGGGTAATTTAGCTGCCAAGCTAGTAAGCAGGGATTATTTAGTGCTATATTATGGGAAACCCCACTCTTTCAAAGTAAAAGTCAAATCATGTATTACAAATGAACACTATAGACAATTTTGAACGTCAAACAAAAACCATAATATAATAACCATATCAAAACGTTCAATTTTGTAAGTGTCGGTCGGTCCTCTAGTGGAGCTGTCCTGGAGTGGAGAAGAACGAGCAAGAAACTCCACGGTTACTCTTTATCGGGAGGGCTATGTTTAGAGGTGAAAGTAGCCTGGTTAACTATGATGAAGAATCTAGATCTTTTCGCCGCAATAAAATTCTTCTTAAACTCTTTCAGCCGCTCCTGGTCGATCTGCAGTAGTCGACGACATAATCATTCGATATTTCAGGTAAGTAAAAACAAGAAACTACCTTTTGATTACTGTAATAAGCCATTGTTTTCATTGTACTCGGTCAAACGGTTTCGTTCGAATTTAAGTAACAGCGTAAGTGGGCTATGTGTTTGCAATACAAACAAATTGATGCTTACTTATGTAACATTTTTACAATTGCTTGATGAGAACATTACATTGGTAGCTATTTATTTGCCTGTTTTATTCCTAATGTAGGCACGATTAAGTATAATAAATTGACTGTATGAGCCATTGCATTGTTATTTGTTGAATTTTTTGTTGTGTAAGTGATTTAACCTTCATTGATTGTGTGGACACTAATCCGACTGAGTATGAGGTCTCATGATGACTATAATAAAATAAACTTTCGAAAGATTGTAGACAATTTTGGAAATGAGGTCTTTGATAAACTTGAAATGCTTAAACTGCCATAACAAGTGGGGTAAAAGTAAACACTCGCTAACTGCATATAACCAACACCAAACCTCAAGCTATCCCGACGCAAGAAATCACATCTAAACTAGCTGGCTTGATAAGGTTCGTCGCATAGAGCAAGATAATTTGACATTATTCTGTATACATATGTTTTATTGTATTTCTGGAAGGCCTTCGATATCGTCAGGTGGGGGAGACTAAGGCTAGTTCGAGCGGAAATGGTATTACCGCAGAATCTAGTGCATCTCATGAGGCGTGTGTGAGGACGGCACTGCCACTGTTTGGTTCGACGATATAGACTCTGAATATTTGAATTTGAGGACTGGTGTTACACCGGGTTGTATATTGTGTCCCCTGTTTTTAACGATATGCAGAAATACAAATACTCTATAAAGCGTATGGTCCCAACGATTGGAATAATAAGAAGCGGTCTATAGAACAAACCAGACGGTGATAAAAAGTTAAGAGCGTACAACTGAGAAGAGAAAGAAGAAAAAACTGTGACGTAGAGTCCGGTCTAGCTTAGATATTGTAGCTGACCTTTTTTTGTAAAGAAGGTCCATGATCCAGCAGAGAACTAATATGTTATAATGATGATGCTGATACTCAAACCTTCAGACTTAGCTATTATTTTTTATTAGTATAATCCATGTAATTTTATTTGCTAAGAAAAACTTTTCATGCATATTTATGTATTCTTGATTTTTTCTAGTACAAATGTGACGTCACCGAGTTCTTACCGTATCGCTAACATCAAGGCAGTGCTGTCAGACCCAGCATTTGACGTCAAGAAACCAACTGTACTTTACGCTCATGGGTGAGTCCAGTCAAGGCTACAGAATTATTTATACTTTTTTTGCGACACGTGTCTCATTGGTATAGTGAGCATGACCGCTCATGAATAAAAGTCATGCTATGACTTCAAACTAGTTGAAAATTTTTCAGTTAATTCCCATATAAAAAACTAAATACTCATGTTTTTTTCTATGTGACAGGACAACAAACGAGCAGACGGATTACCTGATGGTAAGCAATCAGCGCTACCTAAGGATACGCGCAACAACGGAGGAGATACGAGTGTGTCGCCGACCTTTGGGGCATTAAGATTAGGGATGGGGAAGGATTAAGCTTCTGGTAACCTGACCCACACGGCGAAACACAACGCTGTGGTTGTTTCAACTCGGTTTTCTGTGAGGCCGTGGTATCACTTCGGTCGAGTTGATCCATTTGTGCCAAAGCATGGCTCTCCCATACTTTTTGTACCGTTTTACCATCTACTCTTCTCCTATTGGGCGTAGCGTGATGTTTTATGGCCTAAGGCCTACCTCGATAAATGGACTTTACAACTCACAAAGAATTGTTCAATTCGAATCAGCAGGTCCTGAGGTTAACGCGTTAAAACAAAAAATCTCCTGCATCATAATAATTATTAGACATGCATAGCTACTAGGAGTTTTACTTTCGTATTTTTTTCTGTTTCTCCGAGATCTAAACATCAATATTATTTCAGCTACCAAATTAAGGTTTGTATTTTTCCTCAGGTACGTGGAACTCCTGACTGATGACAGTATAAGGACCGTAGTGTCTGCTTACCTCCAGCGCGGTGGTTACAACATATTGGTGCTGGATTGGTCCAATTTGGCCTTCGGGAACTATGTCCTCGTCGCCAAGGCTCTGCCACATGTAAGACAATGTTTTTTGTTATATTATTGGCTTATGTTGTTTTTTTATACATATAAAAAAAAACGTTGCCCCACTCTAGGATTTTCTTCTGTGTCGTGGGTGCGTTTACAAACATACAATTTCACATACACCACCACCGTAGCCAGTTGCCGGTTGCAATTTTTGTGTGACTTCTGTGTAATTTATAGCAAAAGTAGTTCCTTAGAATTTTGTAAGGATTATTGTAACTTACTCCACTTGGTACCAAAGTTGAGTGAGTTACAATAAATTTTCAATTTTCTTCCAAATAAATAAAGTTGAAAATTACCAGTACGTAGGGGATGACTCAATGTGCATTGTGCATAATTCATAATCTATGATAAGACATCCACCAAGGCCAATTGTGTTACTTCTTTTGAAATTATAAGCAAGTAGAGGTTCTCAGGAGAGTTTTTGAAACCAAATCTTGCGTTATTAAGCGTTACTAGTCGTTTACTTGCTCGCCAGACAAGTACAGTTTAAGTAATATATGAAAATTTGTTTTACTTTAATCACTATTATTATGGTTGCAAGTAGTCTCTTTATGTTATGTTAATGTAAGGATATAAATTATTCATAGGTGCTTACCGTGTAATCCATTTGACGGGTACGATTCCCACTTGAGACACCAAATGAAATAAGATTGTCCATTTGTAAGCTGAATGAGGGGTTTTTTTTGAAACATGGTATTTAATTCTAACTTATTTATTTATTTATTTAAACTTAATGCAACAAAACATTACATAGGCGGACTTAATGCCGTCGGCATTCTCACCAGTCAACCTTAGGGTGATGCAGAGAGAGTATGGTAGGTGCAACAAGAAGAGAACTTTGAGAAGATAAATTAACTTAGGTACAATTAATCAATATTCATTTTTATTTTTTTAATTTCTGAGTAACGAGCGCGTCCCAATAAGAGCCCCGGTGTGACTTGAAACTAGTATAGGCTAGGCTTACTCAATGGCACGTGGCGTTTCGCTGATTCGTTGATGGTTAGCCAGGGTTGCGGGTCCTGCGCAAGTACGTGGCGTAACCCTAAGGACCAGAATGGTTTTTGGTCAGTTAAGATAGTTTGAAACTCTCTTTCGCCCCATCCAGGGTGGGACAAATCATTTAGTAATCCCCCACCCCCTCCCCCTAAAAATAACGATAACGATTGAAACATATTATGATATGACTGACAACAATTATGATTTAATTTTATTAAAGTTATGGATTTTTCACTCGTTGTCGTGTTTTGTTAAACAATACTAAGAGATTTTTTTTTTCGTTTCCGATGTCCTTCAGCCGATTCTTAAGAATAATATTTAAGTATTTACTGTTATATATTTGAAGGTTGCTATTATTAGGTTTAAATATGAATAATGTATATAGCCTTATATATATGAATATGTATATTACCTATATTGTATTATCTTTAGGTTTGAATGGTGACCCTGTCTGCTAGAATGACCTCAGTTATGTCAGATTATAACACATAACGTTGAAAAAGTTATTAATTATTTCTATAAATTCCAAATGAAGCCGGTTCTTAAAAGCAAAAAAAATATATAATAATAACAAATAAATGTTTACTTTGAGTATGACTGCTAAACGAGGTTTGATTCCTGAATTGATCAAATTAGTACTTATATCATGGATTCGGCAAACGAGTAGATGGATTACCTGATGGTAAGCAATCAGCGCCGCCCATAGACACTCGTAATACCAAAGGAGTACTACAAGTGGCGTATTCTTGTAAGCTATTAGAAATTTGCGGTTAGGAGATTTGGGGATTAAGGATTGGGCGTACGGTAACTTCTTACGGCAAAACATAATGTAGGAGTAGTCTCACACCAATTTTCTGTGCGGCCGTGGTATAACTCTGATCAAACGGCCCAATCACGCCGAAGCATGTTTATCCCATTTAAAAGTTGTTGTTATTAAAAAAACCCTAATAACAATGTGTACATATATATGTAGAGGCATTATGTGCACCTCTACATGTAGCCCTTGAGGGATAAATAGCGTGAAGTGATAAAATAATAATAATAAAACCCACCATATACCCAATCCTTCCCCACCCCTAATCGCTCCTCGATCCCTAAATCTCCAAATCTCTAATCCCTAAAAGGTCGGCAACGCACCCGTAACTCCTCCGTTGCGGGTGTCCATGGGCGGCGCTGATTACTTACTCGTTACTACTACTACTCGTTTGGCGATCTACTAGATAAAAAAAATATTCCAGGCAGGAGAATTTGTCGGCAAGGCCGTATACAAGCTGGTGAAGCGAGGTATGCCAGTCCAGAACCTGCACCTGGTCGGGCACTCCCTGGGCAGTCACATCTCTGCCTACATCGCGAGGTATCTCTCAGCGAGAGGTTTTAAAGTACCCAGGTAAACAAGCATTAGTTCTTAAAACTTATTTTGTTGTTGATTCATTAGATTTTGTCTTCTTTGGCGTAGGAGATAAGGATTTCAATGCTGGTAAATGTAAGTTTGTTTTACAAGGACTGCAATGTCGTTTTCTTATCTATACTAATATTATAAAAAGGTAAAATTTGTAAGTTTGTATGTAAGGGGTAATCTTTGGAACCGCTAGGCTGATCGCCAAAATTCTTTCACTGATAGATAGCTACATTGTTTCTAAATGCTATAGGCTATAAAACATCACGCTACGATCAAATGGAGCTGAGCAGCGGGTGAAACCGCGCGAGTGTAGCTAGTGTATTATATTTACTTATTTTGACTTGCGATTTTTCCCGCATGGCTAAAGGACAAACCAAACACATCTTTTATCAAGAGAAAATGCAGTCTTATCTTGAAGTACAAAAAACATAGTAAATGAAAAACAAAGAAACACATTTTTCGAATTACAATATTTTATAATTAACTACTGCTAACTTTGCCAATGTTATCGGGATGAAAAGATTGCTTTTGTGTTATCCAGACTATAACATATTTTTTTTAACTTTGCTCCTCCCTTTCTCCTTTTTTTATCCTGTTTCCCGGTTTTCTCCTGTGTCATGGGTGCGTTTACAAACATACAATTCCACATACACATAATATCTATATCGTTGCCAATTCCCTTATATACCAATCAGTACCTACTTTTTACGTGAACGAGTAGGTAGGAAACATATATCTATTCTTACATTTTTGACATGGGTGGAACTATTTTACAACAGCACAGGAATATGAGGCGTACCAGATGATGTAAGACTTTCTGTAGTATGTGCTGATGTAACATTTTCGATTTGGTTTCCAACGTGCAATGATTCACTTGAATGATACGTTATTAAATTCATTACATTGCCATTCATAGGTTCGTACAAGTTCTCCTTGACATTCATAACTTTCCAAACTGGCGATAAAAATATCAAGGAATTTGTAAAAGTACGGGAGAATCACAATAAAGGGAAGAACCAAAGCTTCGGCAAAAATGCATCGGAGTGACAAGACTCACGGCCTCACAGAAAACGGGCGTGAAACCACCACAGTGTTGTGTTTCGCCGTGCGAGTGTGGTTAATGGAACCCCAATCCTTCATCTCCATAAATGCTAATCCCCAAGGCCGACAACACACTCGTAACTTGTTAGGTATGCAAATTGCTTACCATCAGGTAATCCTGTCTCCCCGTTTGCCGAACTATCACATAAAAAAGAAATGTATTACCACTGCCCATGGACACCCACAACATCAGAGAATTTGCAAGTGCCTTACCGGCCTTTTAGGTGTTTGAGATTTGAAGATAAGGTGTTTTGGAGGTTGTAGATGGAGGAGGATAACCGGTAACCTTATTCGCAAGGCTAAGCACAACGCGGTTTTCTGATTCCGGTTTTCTATGAGGTCGTGGTTATTTTGGTTCAGCCAGTCCATTCGTGCCGAAACATAACTGTTTCACACCTTGATAAAAAAATTGAGGATCCATAAGATTGTAATCTATAATATTAAAAAAGGCGAATATGTAAGTTTGTATGTAGGGGGTAATCTTCCGAACCGCTGATCGGATTCCCAAAATTCTTTCACTTATTGATAGCTACAATGTTCCCGACTGCTATAGGCTATAAAACATCACGCTACAATCAAATGGAGCCGAGCAGCGAGTGAAACCGCGCGGGAGAAGCAAGTGACAATATAATATCATTTAGAATTAAATCTACGTATTAGTAAATAAGTAGGTACCTACTGATTATCTATAATATAAGAATTAACAAAGCTAATCTCAGACATTATCTGAATACTGCCAGGATAATATTATTACACTAATTAACTTGCATTCAGCGTTTCACTTTGTTTACTAGGAACCGGTACCTAGTTGCCTGACTTATGTCATGGATTGTGGATGCTATTACCTATGTAGATTAAATAAATTCATTACCTCTATATGGCCCACTATAAAGCATCATAGTAATAAATGAAAATAAAATATAAAACAAGTGGTTGTATGTTATATTTCACTTTGTGAACGGACATAAAATAAATGTTAAAAGTGTTTGCGCCTGACTTTATTTTAATAGCAATGTGTAATTGATGAGTATTGTTATGTTTTTTTTTCTGAGGGACAAAATCGTCATTGGTTCTAGACACGAGAGGGAGTATCAGACTTTTACTGACTAAAAGACTCCCTGTTCCTCCTCCTTGTGAATATCTGACTTGTAAATATTTTTTATTACAATTTATTAAAATCTGCTTTACATATTTTGATCTTACAGTACCCTTAAGACTGTTGGTACAATCGCCAGAAGTGCGGCTATTAAAAGGGGCCTCAGATTCCATTATACTTAGGATAAACTAATTATATATATTATTTAAGATTATTTAGATTAGCTGAAGTATACAAAAATACAAGTAATTGGTTTATCCTATAATGGAATCTGGACGCCTCTTAAATTGTTTTCTTTATTCTAATTTATTTTTTCTTACTTTTTCAGATTAACCGGCTTAGACCCAGCCTACCCGGGTTTCTACCCACCTTTAGCAGCACCTCCGATGACTCCGGCAGACGCAGATTTTGTGGACGTCATCCACACGGACGGTGGGGGGTATGGAGCTCCTGATTCCACGGGTCATGCTGACTTCTGGCCCAATGGGGGACAGGCCAAGCAGCCAGGCTGTTTGTCTGCTACTATTCCTCTTAGTAACGAAGGTAAGATATACTTTATCAAGTAAAAAATTGGTTCCTGTTTAGTTGAATTTTGTTATTTATTTTTCTCAAGAAATTTATAAGACACCCAGCATGAGAAATATATTTCTTTCTTGTATTCTATCCTTTAATAATCGTCATTGATTGTTTTTACAGCCATGTAGTCGGATCACCTGGTAAGCAATCAGTGCCACCCATGGACCCAATACCAAAGGAGTTAAGAGTGTGTTGCCAACCTTTTGGGGATTTGGGATTTGGAGATTTAGAGATTAGGGTAGAGGAAGGATTGGGTTGATTTCTATAAGTCTCTGTGTTATTTTCAGATTTCTGTAGTCATTGGCGTTCGTGGGAGTTCTGGTCGGAGTCCCTGTTGAGGGATGACTTCCTGGCGCGTCCGTGTGAGGACTACGACACTTTCCTCCGAGGACAGTGCTCGGGGCAGCCTCTTGTGTTCATGGGGATACGGGCATCGCCAGAGTGAGTACAGTCTTATGCTAAACTACTTACAAGGTGTTTAGGAGCAGTCAGAAGTATGTACACCTAAGGTCTCTTCATTTCAAATGCCTATGTGACCCAAGCCTTAGGTGAACTGTGTATGTGCCACATAAGTTTATCAAGAACTTGTTTGAAGTTGGCACAACAGGCCCAAGAAGTCTGTTTCTCGCGATTAGAGAGAAAATTGCACATTAATTTTTCAATGGCTTCTTTGATTGTAGTAGATTTGTTGATGATGATTATTATTTTGATAAAAAAAAACAGTAAAGAATTATTTCCCATCTTTTTTAAATCTACACGGTGCAGGTGTAGTGGCTAGGCAATCGGCTGCTGAGCAACGTGTAGGTAGAGGTTCGATTCCCGTACGGAACAACTCTTTAAGACTTAAAGAGTTGTTCCGTACGGGAACAATTTGTAGACCACTTAAAGTTTAAGTGGTCTACAAATTGTTGTTCTTGATGTCATGAGTAATAATTATAATATATTTTTACGTGTAAGTAATTATAATATATTTTTTATTTTCTCCGTGCACCGACACCGACAGTGAAGAGGAAAAAAAGAATCATTTGAACATCCGATATTACTCTCGGTTAGCAGATCCTAGAACATTGCATCTTTGTTTTCAGCGAGCAGAACGTTTTATTCAAATCTTGATATTTTAACAGAATTTCTTATTTTTACAGTTTACGCGGAAACTTTTATTTGATAACCGGAGCGAAGTCACCGTTTGGACTCAACGCGAGAGGAGCTAGCTGATGGCGGCTTACGTCAAAATATTTACCTAGCATTTAAATATTAATCACCAAGCTTGGCAGGGGTAGTGATGACGAAGTTGGATAATAAGTAGGTAGCGATATAATTAAGTCATTTTACGTAGGAGCAGGGGTGGGGCGGCTTATTTTTGAGGAGGTAAATCATCAAATGACTTCTCTCGTGCTAAAAAGAGAGTGGGAGTATCAACCTCTTACTGACAAAAAAACATCCCGTTCCTTCTCCTGCTTCAGACCTGGGCCATGGTATATTATTGTGATACCCGCAACTCCGGCTGAACATCAGCCCTATTAGGCCCCATCTGTAGTGATAAAAGTCAACTTCAAAATCGTTTATTTCCATTAGACCCTTATATAGGTATACACTTTTGAACGTCAAACAAAGCTTAAAGATATAAAGTGTCAGTCAGTCCTCTAAGTGAAGTTATTTGCTCGTTCCAAAGTGTAGATTTCAATGAAGAAGAATGAGTAAGAAACTCCATGGTTACTCTTTTGTGCCAGCTCATTGTGAACCCAAATTAATATTGGTGCTTTGATGATTTTAGTTAGCTTTAATTGTAAGTATGAGGCTAAAATGTTTAGATTGTTGTCTGTCCATCTCTTCTTCTCACTTCTCAATGAGGGGTAATGACATTTTTCTTTAAATAGAATAATGTTCAGCATTTCTCTCTTGTGTGTCGTTTGTGTAAACAATTGTGATACTGCAAGATGTTGAATGCACTTAAAACTCACCTAGTGTACCTAAGTATTTAAAAGTAGTTTCGAGTAATACACACATAAATTTTAAACTTATTATGATAAATATTAAACACACGCACTTCTCAATAAAAAATGAAAGTTTAGTAACAACTTATCTATCTTTCTAGTCTATACAGTTTAATAAACCTAAATATTTGGATATTAAATAAAATACTTAGGTAATAAATGACAATTGAATAATCTAATATTATTATTTTATTTGTGTACTGTTCATCAGAATTTCCAATTATAAAGTCAAGCCTATAAGTATAAGTAGCTAGTATTTCCAAAAGGTTTTAATCATTTATTTTTAAACAAATAAAAGTAACATTGACATGACTGATATAAGTTGTATGAATTTAATTTATTATAAAAATACATCTTATTTTTTTTAAAAGGGTGACAACAAACTTTTCTTTTAGATTAATTATAATCATTAGACACTTATTTTTATTTTCTTTCTTACACTTTATGTGCTTTCGACGACATAATGAAACAATGAATTTATTTTAGCATGCCAAAATTATAATATATGTAAAAAACTTTAACATGTCAAAGTTATTATGTAAAAAACTAGATGAAGCCGAATGATTTGAAATATCGTGTAACGTCACGATTAGGTATGTTTTGTACTGAGCAGTGTCATAGTGTCGAAAATAAATAAAAATACGTGTCTGATATTTTTTCATTGCCTAAGGAACGAACTGTTTAGATCTTTGTTCGTGTCAGCGTCCTTATTATGGAATGAGAGATGTCCACGGCTGAACAAAGCAGGCTAAGAAAGGAAAATTAAGTTGTATTTTTAATAAATTATTAAAAAAATGATGAGTGAAAACGCTATTTTGATATTTATTTATGACAAAAAATATAACCTTGAGCCTGTTTCACCACCTCCCCACAAGTAGGTACTCGATAAACTTACCTATACCTAGCAGATAGTTCCTACAAATATCTTTCTTTATTTTTCTATTACACTTCTAATTATTGTTGTGATGACTAAGTATTTGTTCGACTTGAATTGTAAAAACCAAAAATTAATTTAGGTATATAAATTCTCTACACTTTCTCTTGGTAGTGAGTATTTTATAATATGTGAAGCAACCTATCAATTTGATCAACATAATTATTTTAGTAATCTATAACCTACATTAAAGTTAGAACAAACTTAATAATATCAATCCAATTAAACATTATTCCCGCTAATGTAGGCACAAGAAATTGTACCATTGTCAAATACATACAATTTATAAACTCTATCTATACATATTTTGCACTGTCCCGGTATCAAATCCAAGGCACATAATGCTTGACACTTAATAACAAGGCCTTTTAAATTATTATCTACTTATACATACATATTCCTTAACAAAATTGTACTATAATAATTATTTCAACTAAAATAAACTAACTTGCCGCCGCACTCAGAGCATCTATTTCAATTTTAATCACAAAATACATAGATAGTTAAAGTTATACTTAAATATCTCTGAGTAAGAAACTATAATGTTTTCATTAAGACAATTATTGGTCAAAACATTATCTAACTTGAAAGTGGGATCAAAAAACGGTAACTATTTATTTAATATTGTAGCTAAAACGTCAAAATATCACATTTAGTTATTGTATCACATATCTATCGTTATTTTCTCTTAGGCGCTACCAAAAGAACGAGTATAGGTATAGTGTTATATATACATATGGATGTATAAATCCTTTTTTTGGTCATCTTCCGGTAATATCAATAAGAAATACGATCTTCAAAGACTTGAAAATCTTGAGAGATTCTTCCGACAAATCTTTACGATTCGCCACAAGCTCAACGCCTGATAAATCACAGGCTATTTTTACTATGTCATTATACTTTGTCTCAGTTTAAATAAATATCCAGTGCTTTAAATACATCAGTGTGCTATATCTATCTAGATACACAAAAAGGGTGAATTTTTCTAGTATCTATTCACCCCTCTTCTGCGTCTACACACTCCTCGAATTCTGACTATCCCGTTTAAACGCGATATAAACGTTACCGCGTTGAGTCCTCTGATTGGTTAGTGAACTTAGAGCGCGCCAATCAGAACGCTGAACGTCATAAACGTGTCAATCGTGCTAACGTAAAAAAAACTCGCATTAGACACTGTAACGACTCTGTGTTGTTTAGTGACTCAACTGTCACATAGATATATTTAATTCTTAAGTTTTTCATTAGAAGTGTCAGGATGATAACGCCCTTACTCATTCATGAAGGTAGCACCATCGTGAAAAAAATACGATCACATCGAAATTCTTCTATAACGTCATAATAATATTAAAGAGATCATCAATCAGCTGTTCTGACATCCTCAATACTGTCTGGTAAACTCCTGCCTTTGGTCTCTGGAAGTAATAGAGCCACCAGACCAGCTATAACAGGTGTTGTTCCAAATATGGCCGTGGGAAGCCAAGGTATAGTTGTCGATGTGTTGGAGATGAAAGGAGCTGCCATAGAACCTATCCTCATAGCAGTAGAACATGCTCCCATCCCCATATTCCTGAGCACAGTCGGATAAAGTTCTGAAGTATAGATATAGATGGTAGATGCAGCGATGGCGGAACAGCTCACTCCCAAAGTGCCAAGCGTGAGGGTCACAGCGAAGATCTTGGGCACGAAGTAAAGGATCACGATGAAGACTCCTTGCATGATGAAGGATATGGAAACGGTGAGTCTTCTGCCGAACCTCTTGATGAGCCAGATCGAGAGAAAGTTTGAGGGGAACTGAAAAGTAAAGGGTGTAGTGTTGAAATCGGATTTTGAAATCTATATTCTTCTAAAACACAGTGTTTTTAGTCAGGTTTTTCTTTCATTAGGTACTTAACAATAATAAAATTTATGACTTAGAAAGTTTTAAACCATTGGCGTGAATGTACAAATTTTTATTCCAATATTTAGACTGTGACATAGAATGTGAGATTCGTAATATTTTAATGTGCTTCTTGTGGAAGTTGAGTATTTTTATTATATTCTTCACAACTAGAATTTCAGAATATAACAAATTATAACTATATTTATATCATATCTTATTAAAATTGTATTTGAGACCGGAGCAAGGTAAGTTGCTAGTTCAAAGTTTGTAAATGCAACCACGACACAGAAAAACATATTGTGAAACAATGTTTAAAAATGCTAAAAAATGTTACCTGTATAGCTCCAGCCAGAGCTACGCTGACGAAGGGATCCGGACTGGTTTGGCTGATGTACTGGTTAAACCCAAAGAAGATGATACCAGTGATCACCCACATGATGCAGCAGCACACAGTCTTCAACAACAGGCAGCTTTTGAACAGGTCCAAGTAGTTTGGCTTGGGCTCATCAGCTTTAGCGGCGATCTCCTTCGACATTTGTGTCAAGGTTTCCTCGATTTTTGCTGTTGGTCGGTTGTTCCTGTAAATTGAGAGACGTTTTTAAGAATATGTGTCATAAAAGCTGCTGTTGTCGCTTTGTAGGAGAAGATTCGGTAGTTTCCAACAAGTCAAATTCTTTACTTTTATTGAAATGTCAAAAACGATACTGTTGTTTGAATTTTGTATGAGACTGCAACATATTATGCCGTTATAATATTTTTGCAACAAGAAAAAGTCTTTCTTATATTAAATATTTATTACTTCTTTTAATAATTAACTGCATTGAAAAGCCAAAATAAATTATTTTTGACCCAGGAAACTACTCTATTATCTGTGAAAACGTAGCGTTTCTTTCAGAAGAAGAAAATATTAGTTTCTATGGTATTGGATCAGAAATCAGTTATCGTTTATTATCTGAAGATTAATTTTGTAATACATAACTTGAAACACACAACAATAGAATAAACTTCATAGATATTTGATATTGAATTATAGTCAAGTATGGAACCGGTTGCGAAAGTATCAAATTATATTTTTTGCTGCTTATTTTTGGCAACCATAAACTGGTTTGAGTACTGGCATGTCGTAGAGTTTGTGGGTACAGTTATAATGATATTTGTACCGACATTTATGGATATCATAATCTAAATACCTCATCATCATGAAACATTTAAATCATTTAAGAAACAGTAACAAAATTAAACGCTAAGCTGGGGTCGCTGGCCAAGCGCAATATGGTACCGCAGTCTCGGCCTTGAGCAAAATAAGAAACAGGGGAAGGCGTTTGAATCAGTGAATCAGTAAGAGTCTGACACATTCTCTTGCCCTACCCTGGATAAGAGAAACCATTTAATGATTTTCCACACACAAAAAATCGTTTCAATGTACTGCAGCCCCGACCCGGAATCGATAGAAGGATTGTGGTGGTTTTTAGCCAATAAGAGTCTGATATTCCCTCTATTTTTATGTAATAGATCGGCAAACGAGGAGACGGGGTACCTGATGGTAAGTAATCAGCACCGCCCATGGGTGTCCATAGGCGGTGCTGATTACTGCAACGGAGGAGTTACGAGTGCGCTGCCGACCTTTTAGGGATCTGGAGATTTAGGGGTTGAGGAGGAATTGGGGGCGGGGAAGGATTAGGCCTCCGGTAACCTCACTCACACGGCGAAACACAACGCTGTGGTTGTTTCACGCCGGTTTAATGTAAGGCCGTGGTATCACTCCGGTCGAGCCGACCCATTCGTGCCAAAGCATGGCTCTTCCACACTTAAAAGGATGTTTTTTATTTTAGGAACTTGAATTCTGTCGACAAGAAGTAGGCATTTTGAGTAAATAAATTGTTATCTCGTTGTAATTTTATGTCAGTAAGTAAAGGAAAAGTCTAGATGGCCTAAAAAATACATTGTGTCAATACTTGCTTTCCTTCAATCCAGCTATTTTACCTCCTTGTGCTTTATAACTATGCGAATAAGGTCCATTTTTATCCAACATATCTGACTTGCAGTTTGATGCAATCTTTACGATTTTGCAAATACAAACGAGATTTTGTGTGAGATATTTAAGAAAGATTAATTGTTATCGTATGGTAATTATTTGCATAGTAATCTTAATTTTAAAATGAATAATATTTATAGCGAGTTTTTGTGGCACGTGTAGGCCCATAGAGAATTCAGTTTTGAGATATTTTATTAAGTTCTACTTAACTGAAGATCGTTCCATTTTTTATGGGATAGATCGTCTAACAAGTAGACGGATTACCTGATGGTAAGCATTCGACGCCTCCCACTGCGACTGCACTCGCAACACCAAAGGAGTTACGAGTGCGTTGCTGGCTTATTGGGGATAATTACGTATCGGGAAGAAATGGAGGAAGGGGAGAGATTGAGCCTCCGGTTAACTTATTCACACAGCGAAACACAACGCTGTGGTTTTTTCACGGCGGTTTTCTCTGAGGCCGTAGTAGCACTCAATCGAGTCGATCGAGCAGACCCATTTGTGCCGAAGCATGCATCCCACACTTAGCATCCTCTGTTTTCAATCAATAATTACTTACAAGATGCAGGCTCTGGTGACAATTTCAGTGGCTTCTTTCACCCTTCCAACGCTGATCAGCCACCGAGGAGACTCGTTTAGCACGAAGAAGTAGCCCAAGTAGATCAGGGGAGGGATCCCCAGCGCCAGCAAGTAGGTGTTCCAACTCCTGAAGTAGTACGCGAATAGGGGTATTGACATGTGACCTGGAAAAATAATGTTCAGGGATTAGGAAGCAGTTCATAATACACTCCCTCTCGTCTCAGGAACCTGTATTCCTGAAGGGTATACCTGGGAGTCTTCAAGGCCTTCTCATACATATGAATCGAAACCTACTACAACGTGGATCCCTACATCACTTACCATCAGGCGAGATTGATACCAAAACAACCAGCTCATTGAAACAAAAGTCATTTAATGATTTTCTCCCTAAGAAAGGATAAGGATGACTAATTTAATATAAATAATCAATGCGATTGTTTGAAGATGGTCTGAACAGTTAATATCCTCAATCCTTATCGCAAAAGCATAAAATATAATTATAATAACCAATAAATTTTATGTAATAAACGTAGAGTGTGGAAAGATCAATTTTAAAGGTTGCAAAAAAACATATAAGATGAGTTTTATTAAGATGCTTATCCGTGCAGCAATAATTTGCAGATTAAGAAAATAATTTTATGTTTACTGTGAAGAATTATAAGTACTTGATTTGGTTCTTATTATAAAATTAGTAATGCATGGTTTTGTAAAAAATGAAGATAAAGGTCACATTTCCTTATGGGTCTAGTATTGGAAACGCAGGCTCCTAATTAGTTGACCTTGAATTCCTTCTATGTATGATTAGGATTATCGTGATGCCTTGAATATACTAGCCGAATACACTGCATGCCGGTGTACCTATGGACCTTCTCTACATATGACAGTTTTGCTATAGGTAATCTCAATATTTGAAACGAGTTATTAGTTTTGGTAGCAACAAATATTTTCTGGTCTCCAGGAGTCAACATCACATCATCAGCCTATAAGTGCCCACAGCTGAGCAAAGGCCTTATCTCACACGGAGAAGGTTGGAGCATTAATCACAACGCTTGCTCAAGGCGGATCGGCGTATTCAAATTTATAATTTGAAATTCCTCACGTGTTTTCCTTCACTTCGTTTAATTTTGTCAGTAGCGTCTAAATAGAATTACAAAGTAGTTAATCTTGCCAGGTTCGAACCCGCACTCCTATGCGCATGACGCACCTTAATCTTTTTTATTTATTTACCTTCACGGCTACGACATAGTCACAATACGACTTCTAGTTAATATTGATGTAAATAATAATATTTTTCTCAGTCAGTAATGACGCAGTTACAGTATGTATACAGACTGATGACGGACGGCAAAATAGCAGACGGATTACTTGATGATAAGCAAGCAGCTCCGTCCATCAACGGAGGAGTTACGAGTGTGTTGCCGACCTTTTGGGGATAAGGGATTTGAAAATTTAGGGATTAGGGAAGGGGAAGAACTGAGCCTCCGGTAGCCTCACTCAGACGTCGAAATACAACGCTGTGGCTGTTTCACGTCGGTTTTCTATGAGGCCGTGGTATCACTCCTATCGAGTCGACCCATTCGATACCGAAGCATGGCTCTTCCACACTTTTTAAAGTTCTTTGATAACAAAAATATACGAACCTATGATGAAAGGTATCTGGAACAAGCATCCAGTGACCTCCCGATACCTTGGACCCACGGCTTCCATGACCATTACAAAAGACACCACCATCGTGCCAGACGTCGCCAGGCCGGTCAGGAACCGCAGTATGGTGAACACCAGATAGTTTGGCGAGAATGGCTGTGCTAAGCCAAAGACTATCAGGGTGGATATCGCCACCAAGAATGAGTTTTTACGGCCATACCTGAAATTATTAAAAAGAAATAATAATATAAGACTCCTGTTTACAATTATTCAATTTAGGGCTGATTTTTCAATGGTTAGATAAAAGTTACCTGGAGAATAATTATGATGCTGTCGCGTCAGAATTTTTGTATAAGACAGTGACAGCAATAATTTTATTCCTAGGATAAACATTTATCTGAATATTGAAATATCAGCGCTTAGTTTCTAGATTTATTTAATGGACTTTAAACGCATTGATTGCTACAATTTACCCCTGCCTTTACCTGGCGTTGCCGACCTGTCTGTGCGTTTATTGTTTACAAAGACATATGAATAGATCAGAAGGTACATATTATAAACTATTCATTTGTTAAAGGTCCGTGTCCATTGTTACAAAATATTATACAACAACTTATTTTTATTACAGTTTATCTTTCACGCAAAGATTTTTTATTTTAAGTCCTTTGTGTTAATAAATAGGTTTATATTAACACAAAGGACGGCTCTATAGCTTTGTTGTGAGCAAAGAGAATAATATTATTCCTCTATGATTGTGAGTGAAGATCCGCGTGGTATTTTTTATAGGTACCTTATGAGTCTAGAGGATTTTTGGCCGAATTAGAATTTAGAACTTCAATAGATAGATAGGTTGGCATTAGTTTATTAAATGTAACTAAACGACACGAATATATTTGTAACGGCACGAATGTAAATTGCTTTACTTTGCATACCGTAAGGTGAAATGTATTGAGACCCTATAAAATAATCCATCCTTTTTTTGTAAACATACATTTTTGCAAATAAATGATTTCTATTTAGAAATCCAAATCGAAATAGAAATGTAACGTAATTATGTAATTATGTAAATGTACTTATTTTTATTTTCTAAAATAGGCGTTTTTGTGCGGGGAAAATCATCAAATGACTTTTCCCACCCCGTGTGAAACGAGACGAGTCAGACTCTTACTGACTAAAAATCCCTCCGTTCCTTCTTTTGCTTTAGGGCGAGGCCGCGGTGCCTCATTGCGATAACCCCGCAACTTGAACATCAGCCCTATAGGATCCCGCCTGTGGTGGTCTATTGTCACTATAAGGTGTACTCTTCTCAAATACACCTAAAATATCGGACTAGTCAAAATCAAAAGTCGGTCACCGAGGTCCATGTGGTATTTTTATTAAATCTCAAACTAACGTGTATCATTGTATTGTATGTATATTCTATAGATACATTAGGTAAAGAAAATATATAAAAATCGATTGTTATAGATTATCGAAAAAATAACACATGGTCACGGTCCACGGTAATACAAAAATATTACCGTGATACGCTGCAGGTGGATTACAAACATCGATTTATTTTATTGTAGATTAAAATGAAATCTTATAAGTTTTATTTTGATTAGAAGTAGTTTATTGTTATTAGTTTTCAGCTTTAATAATCGATAAAAAATATTTAAGTGTCTATTTTGAAAATATATTTTTTCCAAAACTCTTCAAAATGAATGAATTTTACTTTGATACTTACATATGCACAATTTTTGATAAAGGTAACTTATTAAGGTTTATTTTCAATTATTGTGTACAAGATTGTAGAGACCGATCACAAATCAGGTCGATAGACTTAAGCTATTCCTACGGGGATTTATATTGAGAGTATATTACTAATAAAATGCTCATATTATACGCGTATTTGATACTATTTATTATACATAGACATATCTAATTTAGATATACACATATATATATATATATATATATATAAGTCATTTGTCCATATTAAATAATATGTCCATATAAGTGTACAGACACGAATCATTCATATCATAGGGCCGTTATATGTTTTGGGGCTGCCAAACTAAGAAAAGTTTACCCTAATAAAAATGTAAAATTTTATAAAATCACAATTAAAGATAATTTCAATCAATTAAAAATCAAATGCTTAAGTGTAACTTGACTTTTTTAGTTTGATCAACAGTACAATTTTTTCCATAAACCCTTCCATATTTCTGTAGCATTTGTGGGGACTGCAACTTTTGAAAGCTGGTATCACTTTATTGTGCATCGGGTGGTACCGTTATGCATTCCCTGCAGCCTTGCATTCTTCTGCAAATATTTGTAGAGGACGCACGTTTGCCCTTTTTTTATTCCAAAAGTGTGGTGTATATCTTTTGACCCCGGCTTGTTAAACTGTATACATATTTTTCTATTCTTGACAAATACTGTTGTAATTTTGTGCTCTGATCCTGATATTTCTTACTTGTGGCATTGATTCTAAAGTTTCTGAGGACCTGGTTTTATCAACAATTTTGATCCTGATCGAATAACGGATATTGTTAATGTAAGTACTTTTTGAAACAATACTTAATTTTTAATTTCAAGCTTTCTTGCAACTGCATGGTGCTAACAATATCGATATTAAATTTCTCCACTATTTAATAGATGTTATTATACTTAGAAAACTTCCTCTTCAATCGCTCTACCTATTAAAAACTGCATTAAAATCCGTTGAATTTTAAATATTGAAGCATACATAGGGATATAGGGACAGGGAAATGTCAAAGTCAAAGTTTTCATTGCAAATCCAGTGGATAATGTTGTTGTTAACTCAAGACATAGCTGCCTTTTACAAGCATTGCAATTATAACCTAAATAATTATCCTTAATCACCTTGTGGACATTTTAACTTACATAATTATTTTCTAGTTGTATTAAATCAAGATAATTTAGTCAAGTAAAAATGAAATGTCAATATTTGTAAATATTTCAGTCATGTAAAAATGTTATAATGTCAAAAAAATTTAAATTTGAGACTAGTTATATTTCAACTATGTTTATGCCACAGATATTAAGATATTATAGTTATTTATGATGATAAGCTAAGCTCACAGCTTATGTGTACAAAGTAGTTAGAAGTATTCGTTATAGGTAATAGGCTTTATACATTAGCCAGTTACGAGCTAACCAACATTCTTAAAATTATGCGTTTCTACAGACAAAATACAGGTTGTAAAAAGACACTTAACGAAGCCGAAAGCCACTTTTTCTACCCATTCTTTGGATAATTTTTTTCTTTAAGACCATAGCTGGGACTCCACGGGTTCTCGAGATATTGAAGGTCAAAGATGCATTTTTATTTTTGTTTTTTTTTGCGCAATCGAATTCTATGTATTATTACTAAACTTACATTACAAACAAACATTACCTGAATTTTCGATTTTTCTAAATAAATTACGCATTTGAAGTTACGAACAGTAATGTACGTAACAAATAAATGCAGACCCGCACAAAAACATCGTGAATCTCAGTAGGATTTTTATTTTACAGAATTGTTTTGTTGTTGCGAAGTAAAACGTCGACCTACGTACTTATCACAGCGTTTTAATGCTAAGCTGTGAACCTTCACACACAATGACACGAAGCACGTTTGCTTTACATTGCGCGCAATAAAATTATTATAAAAGTCGTATCCCAGTGATAATTTTAGCGTAAAGCTACTTAGTTAGAACTGCAGTATGCCTAGTTAACGGCTTCGTTAAGTGTCTTTTTATACCCTGTATATAGAAATTGAAGCTACAACTAATCAAATTATCATAGGTTATGTTAAAGTTACTTGTCAAAGATAATTAATTAAAAACAATACTTAGCAATATTTGTAATAATTACATAAATATAGTAGATTTGGACCATGTGTAAACCAATCCTTTTATGCTGTAGCCAAATCATATTGTGAGTAAGGTGTCATAAAGGACTTTTTCGTATGCTTGTGTCATGTCTAGTAGTAGCCCTATTACACATTGTTTGTCGTTTATGTGTTGTAACGGTTGTTGAACATATTTATATACTGATTAACATTTTCTTTTGGTTCTCTACATTTTCCTCTTTAACTTATATTGCTGATTATACATAGAATAGATAATAAATAAGTGTGGGAGAGCCATGCTTCGGCACGAATGGGTCGGCTCGACCGGAGTTGTACCACGGCCTCACAGAAAAACGGCGTGAAACAACCACAAAGTTGTGTTTCGCCGTGTAAGTGAGGTTACCGGAGGCCCAATCCCTAAATCCCGAAAATCCCAATCCCTAAAAGGTCGGCAACGCACTCCTTCTTTGTTGTGGGTGTCCATGGGCGACGCTGATTGCTTACCATCAGTTAATCCGTCTGCTCGTTTGCCGTACTATCACATAAAAAAAAAATAGAAAGAAAGGGAGAAAGAAAGAAAAAAAAAGAAAGAAAGAAGCTTAACGACTTTTTACTCGTTTATTTAACTAAAGCAACTTGAAACACATCTAGGAATTGGAAGCTTTGATTAATTAAATACGTCAGCGGAGAAGTTCTATTGCACATTGTTTTAATAAAGTTAGCGGAATGTCATTTATTCAGCAGCTTTTCTCCTGTGTCGTGGGTGCTTTTATCTAACGGGCGTATTATTTATTTTTGGTCAACCAAAAACGAAACAGGAAACGGGTTGACCACAGGGTTTCCAAGATTATTAATTGAGTAAATCGTTTGCCGAACCCTTGCCAAAAATCTGTTTAATCTGTTGTATATGTATAGTTAACGGCCATTAAGTTTCTGCATTGCACATGATTCAATTTATTATGTTGGGGGAAAAACACGTTCACGGTTTTCTACCATTCTATCCAAGCCATTGTTTTTACGTATTACTTTTGGTTTGAGGTTGAATACAAGATCTATTGTAGCAAATTTAACACACAACAGATTTTATTTTAATAGATCTGTTTTTAATTTGGCATCATGACCATAGCATACTAATCACATACAAAATTCTGTTTAATTCATTTAGATGGACATTATCGACGAAAATCCTATGAGTATCGGCGAAGACGAGAATGAAGTATATCGACAGGAGAAACGCCGACGCACTGATAGTGTGTCATCCGACTCATCTCTTCGTGAATCAGAGTTCTCTGACAAAGAAGCTTTAGACAGGTATGTTGTAGGTACAATTATCCCGTGTTGTAACAAATACATTGTCATTAATCTCACTATGTATGTACTGAAGTTAATTAGGAGACCAAAACCAAAAGTTATTGTTGAGGAATGCCAGATATACAGTATGTTTACAAAATTTATCTACAGTTTCAGTGAATCAGCGGAGAATGCTGTTCTGTCCGAGGCGCCTGATGAAACCGAAGGAGATTGGATGGAAGGTCCATTTGTTCCCGAGACCCTACCGTCTACGAGACCAAGCCCAGGAACCCTTATACCTGGTAACGCTTCAATGACGCCAATACAATACTGGGAAGTGTTTTTTAATTCATCTTTTCTGACCACTTTGGCCACCATGACTAATGAGCATGCTAGTAGAATTATAACGGGGTTAGTTAAACCTGAGAGCAGACTCAAAAGGTGGAAACCAACCAACGCTACTGAACTAAAAACCTGGTCCTGGGTTTTAATAAAAGGGCGGCAGACGATACGCCAGTACAAACGCCACAATTTTATCAAGCTGCATGTATTAGCTGATCCCAAAGGACTTGTGCATAGGATAAACATGAACAAAAGACCAGCTAATAGCGAAGTAAGCGGTACTGAACACGCAAAGAAAGTTGTCCTTAAATTGGTTGAAGACTACCTAAATGCTGGTCACTCATTGTATATGGACCATACTTATAACAGTGTAGATTTGGCTGAAAGTTTATTAAGACAAAATACTTACTGCACAGGGACACTTCGGTCGAAAACAAAGGGAAATCTTGTATCGGTGACCAGCAAAAGGTTAACTAGTGGTAGTGTGATTTATAGAAAAAATGAAAAAGTTGTATGCCTCATGAAATGGAAAGGCATTAGGAAGGTTCTGGCTCTTTCCACGGAGCATAAACCTGACCCCCAAGAGACTGTAAACTAGTGTTGCCCAAATTCAGTCTTGGTCTTGCAGTCTTGGTCTTGTTCTTGCGTTTTTGCAAGACCAAGACCGTGTATTTTTAGCAAGACCAAGACCAAGACTGACCGTGCAAGACTTGAGCAAGAACAAGACATAGCCTGCAAGACTCTTGCGTCTTGCAGCTAGGACTTAGCGCTATTTCACTGAGTAGTTTGGAGTAACAGTTCGGTGTATAGGTAGGTACGCTTAGGAATTCTATGAGACGCAAAAAACTGTATCAAAGAATATGAAAAACTGGACCTATGCGCATTACGACTAATACCATAAACATAGCGAATAAAAAAATATCTATTAAAATCAAACTGAGTGCATGCATAGTTATGTTTTAACCATCGGCACTTAGATAATGGGGCATCAAACGTTTTATACTTACTTCTCAAAGAAATTTGCCGCTTTTCGGAAGTAGGTACATGGTTATGATACACGCGCCGGCGGCGGCGGCTTCTTTTGAAATCTAAAACAATCGTTGCCGCCACGCCGAAATCATAAGATTTGACACTATTTGATTGCCGCCATTGGGCGTAGGGGTATACTCATGCAAAATAATTTCGAATTTTAAGAGTACCTACAGGTGTTCCAAAGAATAAATAAGTTTCAGAGTATTTAGAATGAAAATGAATCTGAACGTGAACTGATCACGCAAGTAGTATTATGATTAGGATAAAATGGTAAGGATAGGTAGTAGATGTCATATAAATTCATTCTAGTAAGTATATATTATAATATTGATTACTTATATGGTTTAAAACTAATTACTTAGGTACTATCATTGTACATTTAGTCATTATATTTCTTAAGTTTTTACAAGAAAAAATAGCAAAAAAGTGTTCAAATATCACCCGTTTAATAAATATTGTAGCCACTTTTAAATATACTTGAAACTTCTGAAAGTTTATTTTCTAAAGCATCATTAGTAATTAGAAAACATAGAAATAGGTTAAGTGATGAGTCAGCCAGATGGTTACTTTGTATTAATTTTTGGTCTAAAATTGATATAAAGTATCATAACCTAATGATAAAGCTGTTGATTTGTGTTGTATTTTATTTTTTATTCAAATAAGTGATAAATCGTAAAACTCTTTTATTAAATTTCTTATAAGTTGAGGGTTCAATCTCTTTCTAGACAGATAAGTATTGCTCTTTAAAATACAGTCAAGTTATTGTAATTAATTTGTTTTTTTTACATGCTTTAGCAAATGTAAGCTTATAAATCAAAAATGTTTATTAAGAAACAGTTACTTCCATGGAAGACGACATATAGGTCAGTTGATTTTTCGAATTTCTTATCAAATCTTAAGTTATTTATTAATCTGCTTGATCTTTACTATGGCTATGTTAATTCAAGCTCACAATGTTCCAATTCTAATACGTTTTTCTAAGATTTAAAGTAAAATTTAATAAATAGTAATAGACTAATAGGTTATTGCAAGACTTGCAAGACTCTTGCTGCAAGACCAAGACCAAGACCAAGACTGGGATCGCAAGACCAAGACTAGCTAAGTCTCGTCTTGTTCTTGCATTTGGGCAACACTACTGTAAACAGGCGTGGTCGCATCTTGTCGAAGCCAGAAATTATTGATAAATACAATAAATTTATCAAAGGTGTCGACCGGCATGAACAAATGTTATCCAACTACCCCTTTGAGCATAAAACCAAATGGTATAAGAAAGTTGGCATACATATTATGCAGATGATGTTTGTTAATTCGTTTGTCATGTTTAAAGAAGGTACTGGTAAAATCATCTCTTTGGATAAATACAGGGATGAAATATTACGCTTCCTTTTGCCACCTGCTCCTGAAACAGTTTCTGTTTCACCAACCCACATGCCCAAGGAAGTGGACAGAGACTCTAAGGGTGTCCTGAAACGGAGGAAGTGTTTTAGATGCTGGAAGCTACGCAAAATAAGAAAAGACACTCGTATTTTATGCCCTGATTGCGGCGTAGGGTTGTGCATCGGTTGTTTTGCCCCCCATCACGATGAAAACAATTTCTGAGAGAAGACATCTTCAAAGTTTCAAAGCTTTGCGATATATGAGGATTAGTGAAAATTCGCCATTCATCCTAATTATCGCTATCCCTTTCTTTTCAATTGAACTGTATCGTTGCAAATTTTAAGTACGTAAAGTTTTTTCGCATTTTGCGCACATCGTGTCTATGGAAATCCTACTTAGGCTAATTAATGTAATGGTCGCTTTTATGTTAACACATAGACCCCAGTTTTACTTATTTGTCGCATCTAATAAGTTAGTTTTCTAACAGAATCTTCTTATAAATGGTTGGTTTTAATTTAAGTATCTTTTTTTTGTTAAAGCTATGTTTTTGACGTTCGAGTATTGTCGCTACAAACAGTAAAGCAAGGAAAATGGAAATGAGTTCAAAATGTGCATATGTATATAGGTAAATTCAAATTCAACCTAAGTACCTACATACATAGCGGAGCTTAATCACCAAAAATTTCATTATCACCAAAAATTAATGTATGTAGCACAAAACATGTAATTCATATATTGAATAAAAACAAATGTCTTATTAATTTTGTGCACCGAGTGATATTGTTTGTATGTTTATTTTATTTTGTGATTTTCATAATATTGTGATGTGTCTTTTAATAAAAATATTAGTATTCCTGAAAAAGTATTTTATTTTAATACAAAATTCTGTACAAGCGGAGTTAATGCCAATCGAAATACAGATACGAAAGAAGCAGTTGATTAGGTACACTCTATAAATTAATATATTATTTAAATACATTTACGGGATCGCGATGGGAAAAGGGATTTAATGATTTTGCTCTGAAAATGACCACACTCACACAATGCAAGCATAGCTATCCCTCCGACCTATTCGTGGCCAAGCATGACCCTCCTGCGTGCAAAGCAATAATTGAATAGTATCTATTTATATTAAGCCACTACATCTGCTTATCTTAATCCTGTAACAATACTTATAGTATTGTGATCTTGCTATTTATTCTTAATCTTCTGTTATCGTAGACATATTGAGTACTACAATGATAAGATTTTGCTGATTGTACATACATACCTATATGTTAACTATTTTCTTTTTATTATTATTTCAATGAAGATGATGCCTTATCATGAAGATCAAAAGGTTGTATATCAATAAAAACAAAAAATAACTTTTGATACAAGTACCCATAAGTAAGTAGGATCAATCTGTATACCCATATTGCGAATAAAATGCATGATGTAATGTATTTTTATGTAACTATATAATCATTATGTTAGACAAATATCAATCTTAAATCTGAAAAAATAGGGTACATTGTAAAACTATACTACCGCCTATTTTGTAGCAGACTGAAATCTATCTTATGGTTATGTAAATAGGCTCGCTTATCAAAAAAATATTACTCCATAGACTGCAGACAGGTCTGACAGCCAGATAGAATAACATACATTCAAATTTCAATTTTTAAATTCACTTTCGCATTCTCGAAAGTAATTTTTGAGTTCTAGATTTGGCCTATTCATTAATGTAACTCTTAATAACTGTAATTAGAATTCATTTTTTAATAACGTTGATGGCCCCAATCTTGGTTTCTCCTGCGTCATAAATTTGTACAATAACAGTAACATACAAATTTATATATATATACCTACAGCACAGAAAAAGATCCTGTATTTAAATACTGAAGAAGAGAACGTAGTTTTTAAATTTATAGATCATGATCAGCTCGTAATGCGATAATTGAAAACGGGACATATTGCGCAAGAGTCGGTTGCTGCTGCGTTATCCGTGCAAATAGGTTTTTTTTTTACTTGCAATAAACTAGTTTGACTGCGATCCCACCTGATGGTAAGCAGTGATGCAATCGTTGATGGTAAGGCGCACTAGTTTGTTAAGAGCCTATTCACTCTAGCCTTGGAGACACCTAAATTGTATTCGGACGGAAAGACTGCAGCTGGCAAACTGTTCCAATCCCTCGATGTACGCGGTATGAATGACGAGGGAGAAACGCTTAGTCCGGGCCGCAGGTGTCTCAACAACGTAAATATATTATATAATATTGATGTTCTGAGTTTGATGTTTATGTCAGTCAAGCTTAGTAAGAAGTTGTTTTTTTTTTTGTTTCGTTTTTTGTCTTGTACATTTTTTAGCTCATTCTTATGTTTCGTTTCACTGTAATTATATTTGTATCTTCTGATCTCAATAATCATATAACGTTTTTCTAAAAACAGTTAAAAATATTTCCTTAATTAATCTTTAATTATTACTTTACGCATTAACTATGTATTATAGGATTGTTTTAGGAACATATGTATGTACTTATAAGTAATTAAAAAATATTAACTTTATTCA